TCCTTTGACTACAATTAGTCATGGTCCCTAAACTCCCACTATCTCTCTTGAAACTTATTTCAATTGTGTTATACACATCAAACATTTTGGAGAGCATGTGGTTATTGTTCACTACATAGTTTACAATAAACTTAGTGAACCATTAGGATAGGGACACAAAGGTGAAGTCCTTGCCTAGTTTCCGTCTCGTTAAGTGGTTTATCACTTCAACACTCAATGATTCAAAATCATCATAAGTCCATGTTGAATGGACTATTTTTGTCAACCAACCATTATGTTCTAAACATAATTACAAACTTTCAAGAGTTGTTCAAGGCAACTCTCATTTCTTCATACAACAATTTGTAAGTGAAGAATCATGGCACATAAAGTGTCCATGCCCTTTGTGCTTTCTTCTCAAGTTCCTTTGTTCATGTAACAAAGAAACAAGCACTAAGTGTTTGCATTGACTAAGGGTTGTTCAAAGCAACTCTTATTTCTTCATACAACAAATTTGTAATTGAAGAATTATGACATTAAAAGTGTTTGTCCTCTTTATGATAGACTTTTTCTAACATATTCTTCTAATGATACATTATCAATAGGAAGATTGTGAGGATGAGACTACTTAGGTACATTTACAAGCCATTAAAGACAATCTATGGTTTTGTAGTACCAAGTCCGGAAACTAAAGCTTTCGGCTTTTATTTGTCAAGTGTTGGATAGCGTTTGCAAATATATTGGTAAACAAAATACATAACGAATATAAATTGATTGATTTTAAGCCATTTGATTCGGGTCTTTAAATCAAATAGCACCACCCACTATTTTTGGCAAATTCCATATCCCTCATTGGAATTCGAGAGTTTTGGATGAAACTCTTAGTAGGGTTATGGGAGACTCACTATTACTACCAAGCCCACCTCACAATGATATGATGTTGGCTAGCATTAATAATAATGAGAGAGTACGCTTACTCATTTGCAACTCTTGCAAGTACCCATCTTATTTGGCCTCTAGAGAATGTACCTCACAATGATATGATGTTGGCTCCATTGCACTTAGTTAAGTCATTCCCACCATGCTTAGTTCGTGTAGGGGTTCAAGAATAGCCTCACAATGATATGATGTTGGCATTCTCGTTGCCTACCTCACACTCATCATAGTATGTATATAGACTTCCTCCTGAGTGTAAGCACGCACTTTGTACTCCCCATGATAGGGTGAAGCCGGTGTACAAGAGTCACAAACGATTGGAGCCTACCACGGTGGAAGGCCACGAAAGAGTGTTCAAAGCACTCTCACGCTTATCAACTTAATAATGGTTTGGTTGAGGGTTTTAGGTCTCATCACATATAAATATTCATTTTAATCTCTATTAAAACAATTTTGGTCCTATTACAACTATTGGTCCATTTGATTGTTTTAGTTGTATATATAATACTCCCACTATGCTTATAAAACGGTTTTTAAAGCAAGAGTATATGATACTACTAACATAAACTTTGCATTCATTTGATGGACTATATAGTTGCCTTAGGGCCTTAGGATGACTATGAACCTTTGTTTAGATTCAACACGAGCCTTGTGTTGAATCTCGGTCTAGGGATGGTGATTGATTTTAGTTACGCGTTTAATCACATTAAGGCGTGTTGTCTTAGGGGCGTTGGACCCAACTACTTCATTTTCATGCATATCAAATAAAGCAAGAAAGAAGTACTTCAAAGTAAAGGTGAGCTTATGCTCATTACAACATTTGCATAAAACAAATTACTTTAAAGTAAAGAAGAGCTTAAGCCCTTTTACAACATTTGATCAAATCAAATTACAACCAAAATCTAATCTACACATTCCCATGGTTCAAACAAATTTGAAACGGCCTTTCACATAGCTCAATTATATTAGGCTTAGGTTCATAATCACCCTTTAATTAATTAACACTTTAACTAATTAAATTGAATGCAACATTTTCATTTGGTTTTTGTATCCATAAAATTGATTTAAATGGAGCTAAATGAAATGAAAATCCAATTCTCATTTAAAGAGACAAAACAATTTTGTTCTCAACCTAATTTGGGCCAAAATGCAATTACCACAACTTTTTGGGCTATATTGCAAAAACACAAACTTTTGGGGTCACTTTGTAAAAACACAAAAGTCCACTACTTCATGTAATTACAACTAGAACCCAAAAATTTAAAAAATATGCAAAAACTTCATTAAAGGAGCAAAACAATTTGTCCTTTAGCGTTTTTGGACCTAAACGTAAAAACGTAAACTTTTGGGTCCAAAGTGCAAATACACAAAAGTATCAAAACTTTATGTAATTGCATAAAAGCCCCAAAAGTACCCTATTTTAATAGGGTGGCCGGTTTTAGGGAAAAAATAGAGAAGAGATAAGTCCACAAAAATTTGGAAATTTTTCAACAATTCATAAAAGCCTTGCAAGTGGTTTTGGTTGGTGTGAATCATAAAACCATGCAAGTGGTGTGTAATAAGAGAAATACTTCTTACACACCATCACCATTTCTAATCACACTTTCAAAATAAATGTTTTGTTGATAAAATTCACATCAAAAACATAAACATAAACTTTATGAAATAAATCAAAACTTTGAATCAAAACACCAAACCTTTTTGTGTTCTTGGCAAAAATGTCAAGAACAATGAAGAACATTCATGAAAAACCCATAAAAGCTTCCATGAACATTTTTCACCAAAAACATTCCAAAAACCATTCAAACTTAAGGGAAATAACATATAACCAAACTAGGGTACATTAGGGGTTCCAAAAGTCACTTTGAAAACACTTTTAACAAGTCAAACAAGAACCCAAAAAATCCACCCTTTGGATTTGGCCGAAAATTCCCCAAAAACATGGCACCAAATTTTAGCTCCAATATTCATGCTCATATGATGAACTACATCTACAACATTTGAGATGGCAAATTTTCTAACAAAATTTACATTCAAAGAAACAAGAATAAAGCTTGTAACATATTACAACTTTTAAATCACAAACTATGAACTACAAAACCCAAAAGGATTCACCAACTACTAGACCTAGGCTCTGATACCACTTGAAGGAAATTTTGTGAAAAACATGTTCATTTAAGCAACATCTATAGCATGCAATTAACAATTAAAAGGCGGAATCATGCTTGCATGCACTTAAAAACAAAACATTAACCATGAAATTCAAAGCCTAGTAGATTGGTGAACCAAGACTCAACTCAAAACAAAGTGAGTTGAGAAATTTATACCTTTGTAGATTCCTCTTTGCATAAGCAAAGGCTAATCACCCAAAGAGATAGGGCCTTCATTCCTTGCTTCTTCTTAGATCCATGGATTTGGATGGAAGAAATAGGTTCTCCAAGTTCCCAAAATTGAGAACCTCTAAGTCTCTTCACCAAGGTTAGATTGGAGAAGAAATGAGTGACCTTGGAGTAGTAGGATTGCTAGCTAATCCCTCCAAGGGGGCCGGCCTCTTTAGAGAGAAAGGGAGAGACAATTCTCTCCAATTTTCTCCAAAAAGAAACCCTTAAATGAATTTTAGGCTATAAAGTCATTTATATAGTCACTTCAAATAAGTGACCTAAAGAACCAAAAAGCCAATTCTTTTAAACATGGCCGGCCATTTAGGGATTTTGGGCTTTTGGGCCTTTGTGAATCTTTATTCATTAAGTTGTCATACAACTTAAGTCAATGGGCTTGACGTTCGAAGCCCATTGGGCCTTAAGGTCCAAAACTATCCCGAGGTCTTTAACGAACTTATTCGTTTGATTAATTAACATATTAATTAATCCTTGCCATAAATAATTAAACCATTTAATTATTCTTACTCATCTCCATTGTTTCTTCAATCTCCACCTTTACACGGTGTACGATCCATTAGGTTCCTTTTAGCGAGGCAGTGGGCGATTAAAACCATTTCAAATCGATTGTGAATTGAAACTTACTTTCAATTCTCCCTTTAGTGATTATACACGTTTAGGGCTTCCACAAACCATGAGTGACACCTAGCAGCATATCATGGTTACCCAAGCTAATCAGAAGAGGTGGAGAACCTATTCAGTTTAGGATTACAAATGCAATACGGTCTTTCTCTAATACAATACTCTTGACCACATTGTTTGGTTTGATAGTTTATTTATTCATGTCTACTATCCAATGTGATTCGTGTGCTTATATATGATTACCTTGAATGTGATTTGGAACGACTTCCTAAATCTCATTCATACTCTGGCCAGAGATTCTTAAATCATATCATAGAGTATTCTCCCTCAAACGGTTTGAAGGTTAGAGATCCCTTGTTGCGCATTCACTTGCCTCCATGGCTAAGTGGCTTAACCCCAACGATGCCGTGGACACCCTCCTGATGGAGTGACTTTGACATAATCAAAGATCAAGGACTTAACCACAAGACAACTATGATGCCTCAGGTCAAAGGACTACTTTGCATTATCCCAACCATGAGTTCTCATGTGACATGAATATGAGAACTCTTCGTTGATCGTGTTCAGTGAACTCATTCTCTATTGAGCACCTACGTACTTGTCTTGATGTCACACAGACCAATGACTCGAGACTAGTCACTCTCCTTGAGAGAAGACACATCACGTACTGATCTTAACGGACTGTCAATGCCCAATTGGCAATCCTATGATGAGGAACGTTTAGGATATGTATACGAAAGAATGGTCTCATGAATCTAACTTCTTTAGATTGCATTCTCCCAATCACATATTCCTTGGACTTATCGTTTAAGCATATAACATGTATATGAGACGACTCAAACAATAACCTTTTGCCCTTTATATTTAAACTACATTAGTTTAACTTGTGAAATGTCCGTAAAGTATCATCATATGATTGGTTTTAGGGCACATTTCCAACAATGATATCATTTTGTGCTGCTTAAGTAAAAGTTTCCTCTTCTATTATATTGTAGAAAATTAATATAAGTTGTATATTCATGATAACTGATTGATTAAGATTGCTTACAAGGGATACATATGTAGAGGGGAGCTCAGCATGAGGGTGCTGTTGGTTTACCTTGCCTGGATGTGTTGCAAGTGCAGAGCTGTTCAAGAAAAAAGATTTTAAAGGATCCTTTGCACATGCAGGATCTTCTGCCAAGGTATGGGAATTCCTATTATTAAATGATAGCATTGCAATCTAAGTGTAATTAGTTTAGTTTTTTTTTATGTGAAATGCTATTTACAATGTCAGAATGTTTCTTTGAATTCAGTTGTAAAGGTTTCTTTTTATATTTTTCCCTTTTTGAACATTTGCAGTTTTGTCTGGAGTGCACATTTTGGTTGTATGCATGTTGAAGAGGCTGCGAGGAAAGGATGATGGTATGGGAACTTGAATGCAGAAATAGTACTTTTACGTTATTCCTTCACTATATCGTGTTCACTTTTTCTTCCTATGCAGTCATTAATGCTGGAGTAGCTGGATGTTGCGCTGGTCTTGCTCTTAGTTTTCCAAGTATCCATCGTATTACAGAGTTCGATAATTTATAATTAGCTATCATTGACCGTGCTATTAAAATTTAAATGGAACTCCCGATTTTTGTTCTCTCTCATTTTTGTTGCTCTACTGTGGTTACATTTTTTAAGTGATCAAGCTTTGTGATTGCGTATATATTGATTGATCTGTTTCTTAAAATTGTGGTTAAAAGAAACCTTTTTGAGATTATGTGAAAATCCATTTTGTCAATCAATCTGATTAGTTAAATGTCTCTTTAGGTATGATTGGGTCCCAAAAGAAGTTAAAAGACTGCAACTTTATTCAGGACGGAATCAGAATCAAATTCTTCTAGCACTTTCTCCGATTTCCCAAAAGGTGAATTACAACAAAAGTGCTCCTCCTTTCTTCAGTGGTTGTTATTATTACCTCAAAACAGTTGCATGTATGTGTTTTTTTGCAGGAAGCTCAAAGGATGATTAAGAAGAAAAGGAAATCATAGATTGGAAAATAGATGGGCAAAGAGGCATAGGAATTTCTAGTGTCCCATACCCGTGACATAAAAGGTATAAAATTGTTAATTGATAATTGAACATAAATGCACTGATTATGAATAAGTATGGTTGCTTTGTGCAATGTATTAAAAGTGTGAGGTGTGAGCGAGGCGTCCGAGGGATAGCCCGGCATAGGGAGGCGTGAAGCGAAGTCTCACGAGGCCTAAATTTTTTATTATATACACTGAGCGTACACATATATTATAAATATATATACACACATTATATATATATATATACACACACACACACATACACACATTACATATATACATACATATTATATATATATATACACACATATACATATATTATATATATATTATATACATATAAAAAATAGAGGATGAAAAGCACAATGAGCACACATATAGCAATGCATGCAGACAGTGCACATATCCATTATATAAAAAAATCAAAAAAAAAAAAAAAAAAAAAAGGCTGAGAGACAATAGTGCAAGGAAGAGGTATAAGGCAGTTAAAACCTACCCAAAATTTGGGTTTGGGAGTTAAAAATAAAAATAAAAATAAAAAAAGAAAAAAGAAGCCTCTGAGGTGTGCCTAGGCGGCTCCGGCGACGCCTTCCGCCCACTCCCTCAAAACAGAGACGACAACCCCCACGCCCAGCCTCAGAGGATGCCTAGGTGCATCGTGAGGCGAGCCTTTTAAAACATTGACATTGCTTTTGTGTCATATTGTATCTTGATTTCGTGGTGTACATTTTGTTTGATGGATTATTATTGCCCAATTTGTCCCATGTTCGTCTTCCATAGTACAACTATGAATTTCCACAAAAATTTATCCAATTCTGCTTCTGTTTATTTCCAAAGAAGGGAAATTATATAGTAGAATAAATAAACACATTAGAGTTTTGGGTTTTCAAGAGATTAATTTCTATGTTAAGAATTTTGTTTGTTTTGATGCAGGAGTGAACATGGGGAGAGTCAAAGAGACGAAGAGAGAAGAGAGGAAGACTCACTTCATGTTAGTGCCTTTTACTATATCTTTATACTTTCAACCAAATGAAATAGTTATTAGATTTTGTAAGGTTACATGTTAATTCTCTATGTAACTTGCAATTTTTTCCAATAGTTTTGTTGCTAATAATCTATTGTAACCACTCTTTTTGCCATTTTCCAATAAGTCATTCTCTCTAATTTCTATATAATTCTTTTCACATTTGCACAAGTTCAGTTGTCTTTCTTATTATACAATGTAGTTCATTAGTTTGTCATTTAATAAGTGCAACTATACGTGCAGCTCTGAATTTTGACGATATAATTATTCTTATAATTTTAATTTTGACATGTGAGTTTAGCTTACTGATTAACATTATTTTAGAATTCATGGTGTGTTAATTTGATGAAGTTGCTTCCTATTGTTTTGGTTATCATATACTGGAATTTGAAATGTCAATTGATTCAAAGTTTGCTCTTTTTTAACAAAATAAAGAAAGGGTTTTTTTTGTGGGGTTGTTGCCCACAAATTCTCTTTAGGCCAAAGAATAGAGCTAGAAGAATTGCGGTTTGCTTTCGTTTAGTTTCCTTTATTGAGTGCAAACGCGTTGCTAATATACTTGAATTGATTCCAAAGATGGTATCTTTTCTGGGTTGTTTTACATAAGAATTTCCCTTCCTTTTGATTCAGATTTTGATGTCTTTTACTTCAAGCAAGTTAAACTAAGGAATTTAACTTTGCAATACAATCTTTCATACAATTTTCAATCTTGCAACAACGCACGGGTACAAATTTCTAGTATTTTCTGTTCATGCTTAGTCTAGGATGGTTGTGAACTGCAAAACTAAAGGTGGTGCTTAGTTTGACAAATATTAGCTACTTACGCTTGGTTTAGGATGAACTAGAAAATACGCTTGCATGTTGTTGCCGGAACCAGCTGTTTAAGGCGTAATCGGATGAATAAAAGACATTTAAGTTGATTAAATTCAACACAATTTTGAACAAATAGAGGGATACATGAGTGAATGAGGTCGATAAGATAAGCAATTTTGCTTTTATATACATTCAAGTGAGTTGGCATATAAACACATTGTACAATGAGTGGGAAAAAACTGAACGTCCTTGATTAGAAAGAGAAGAAACAAAAGAAAATTACTTAATACATTTGGATATAAAGGAAAATTAAATTTATTCAATTTCAATATAAAGAAAATTACTTAATGCAGGAACAACATTTGTGTCTCAATGGCGTCAGAAGGAAACAACCAAGTTTATATGCTGCAATTCGGATAACAGAATTATAGGTTCATAACAATCTGTAGACATCGAAATTTCGGTGAAATAAATGTTGATCAATAATTAAAATTTCAACGTTCATGTGTCACATAAATTTTACACATAGCATGTGACTAAACGAAAAATCAAAATAAATCGGAAAAGTCATCAAACAAGACACGTGTCAACACCTGGCAGAAATGATTCATTTCATCTGATTATTTAAATCCAAAAAATCAAGTTTTGGAATTCTATAGAAAGGAAGCCAAGGCTTTCATTTTGGGACACCAATTCATAACCAATTCACCTCACACCAAAGCCTTGAAACCTCAAAACTCTAAAGCCCTCAAGCAAATCCAGAAGAATCAAGAAAGCCCTCTTTGTTCTTCGTCAAAATCCTCCTTCAAAACCAAGCCCCAACGGCCCTTGAAGAAACTTCCACTAATTCAAGATCAAGCCCCGACCGCCCTTGAAGAAAGTGTTCATCATTCATCATCTGTTCATCTTAAAGATCAAGCCCCAACGGCCCTTTGGATCAACAACATCAACAAATCTACCCATTACAAAGATAGAATCAGAGGCTAAATTTGTAGAAGAGATTGTCACCCCTAAATCATTAATACAAATATTATTTTGTACACGTGTTCTTGTCTCGTTCATCGCAGAAATTCTTGTGTTTACAAATTTGGCACGCCAGGTGGGACCATTCTTTACCTCTCATCTCCATCTTTGAATCCGCAAAAAGCACAAATGACATCAAAGAAGGATCAAGTTGTTCTCACATCTAATGCAAGGAACAAGAACGTCATCACCGCAGGCGGTGTCACTTCAGGTGTCACAACTCGAAGCAGGGCAAGAGCTCTTTTTGCTACCTCTTCTACCCTTGCATCAACTCTGCCAAAGGAACAAGAGCACCCGAGGCACGAACCTGTGATCACCCTGGCCTCGCTAAGGGTGCCAAGGAAGGAAAGCCCAAGGAAGTACTCTGGTTCCATGCTTTCCGATGCTGACTCAAGCGGCAGCTCAGCCATGCAAGTCATGACTACTTGAGCGACTTCAATAGATGAGCAGCTAGTTCATATGAATGAAGCGATCGCAAGGCTGAACCTCCAAGCTCGAAACTCAAACCTTGCTCGTTTGTTGCTTCTTCTCCACCTTCCGCTCCTCCCACTTCCTCACAAATAACGCTCTAGCGCCTGCTATTTCCGTCCGCAAGGCATGACGCCTCCTTGTCCCGTAATCGGCCCAGCGAGCTTTGGACCTCGCGCCCAGCCACCGCATTATCTTTCAAGCCCAACGAGAAACCCGAGAAGGTGCCTTTGACCCACTTGGACTTACTGATGATCTTGAAGCTTTTACAAAACTGAAGGAGTGAAGATTGGTGCTGTTGACAACAGTGAAGAAGCTTCGGAAGAGCAGTCAATCTGTCTCTCCCTTTTGCAGTGATGTCTTCCTCCTTCGATATGACCCGTGAAATTTATGATGGTAGAAGACGATAGTGGATGAGGACCAGATCTGTGTGATGACTAAAACTATAATATGAGTTAACGAGTTCGACAAGAGGTTGAAGTTGTCTGAGCTTGTTTGACTCGGTCGAGTTGCTAAATGTGTTGAAACGGTCAGAAGAATGGCATGCATGATGTGGGCATGTTTCTTTTTTTTCTGAAGGCTGCAAAGGTTTACAGTCAGTGAGATTCTGGGGGTTTTCTAAAGTCAGTAACCGTCGTCAAACGACTAGTCGGTCATGAGCTCGATGCCTTACACTCTGCCTCAAGCTCCAGCTGCTTCTGCACCTCCGTCATGGCTGCTGCCTTTGAATGTGATTGACAAAACCAAAGTTTGTCAACTCACACCCAAAGACCTCCTTCGTTTTCTTGCCTCTGCTGCTGCATTTGAATCGGAGAAGAACTTCAACGACTGCTGTCAAACGACTAGCCAATCGTGAAGCTCGACACTTTGCACCGCCTCAGTACCTCCAGCTTCTCCTTTCCCGCTGCAGGTGGCCGTCTTTCATCCGATGCAGCACACATATATATATATATATAAATCATAAAAATAAAAATAAAAACAATAAATAAAATAAAAAATAAAAAACAAAAGAAAAAAATTGGTGCAGTGACTATGCAAATGATGGTCTCCAGAGAAGCAAATGAAAATGGTCCGCATGCGGAGAGTGCAGTACAGCGAGGAAGCCCACTGAGGAATCCAGCCATGCCATCTTCAAGCCACTATTCACAAGTGCATGCTACTGTTAGCAAGTCAAGGAAGGAAAAAGGAAAAGGGTGGTGGCGACAGAATGATGCTTCCAATCACCATCTAAAAGGAAATGGGTGCACTAGTCACCATCTAAAAGGAAATGGGTGCATTAGGCACCATCTAAAAAAATAAAAAATAAATAAAAAAAGGGAAGTAACACATCTTAGTCAGATATACGTTTTAGCACAACATACTGAATAAAATAAAGCATGTCCATTGATATCTCTAAGAAATTACAAGTGCATCAAAAAAATAAAGGAAAAGAAAAGCAAAAGAAAAAAAAAAAAAGGGAGCCTTCACAAATGTCACTTATGTGAAGCCTCAGTACTTGGAGCCTTAGTACTCGACGGAATCCTAAAAGAGGGAGGCACTGAAGATAGCTTATTCGGAGCCTCAATACTTGGTCGAACTCCAGATGACGAAAGCAAAAAGTGCCTCTGGAATACATCCACAAACTTCTGATGGTCACTTTGAATCCGACCTACGGAGTCCAGCAGTTGATCAAGCTTCCTCCATGCCCGTCGAATAACTATTTGCAAGCACATGCAACTCTCTATTCTCGCGCCTGAGCTGTCTGATCTCTTGACTAAGAGCTGCCACCTCGGCTATCAATGATTCAACCTGGCGAGCCCGAGCAAGTAAGCATTGGCCCATGTTGGAAACAAAGTTCGCACACTGAACACTGAGAGCCTGGG